CTAATTGTCAGCCAGAACTAACAGTGGCTAATGGTACTTTAGACCTAATCACCACATATGGTGCTGTGCCTGTGGGAGCAAAGGTTCAGATTTGCAGGTAGTTTAGATGGATCTTTGCTCTATCCCAGGTAGCACCTGCTTGCCTATTAGAGAAGGTACACTCTGAGCTCTAAGAGTGATGGTTGTTTTTTAGGCCTTAGAGGGTGAGGGGTTGGGTATGGGAAACTGGGATCATGTTGAGGAGCTGTGGCATATTGCCAGCGTGAATGCTCTGAGCTTCCTGGTTTTGTCTTTTTTGACATTTGACATTTTCTTTTTCTTTGCACTGATTGAAATAGTGACTGTAGCCAACATTCCTTTTCCCTGTTTCTCTTTCTGGATTCTCTGGCTTAAAGTGCAGATCCTTTTTAAAGTTTTCTCAACATTGTAACTTTTATGTTCATCGAAGGGTAAATAGAAGATGAATTCTTCTTAAGTGATAATTACAAACTGTTTTAACTGAGACATGACAGGATTTACTCGTGTTCCAATGAGAAATCAAGAGTCACTGCTGACTCTTCAGGTCGTTTCATCAGAGGATGCATCTAGGGATACTAAGGAAAGTTTCTAGAGTGAAAAAAAGGCACCCTAGTGAGAAGCTGAGCTAGCAAGGGAGAGAAAGTCTTAGACATGAGTGAAGTTTGTAGCAGTAAGGGAAGAGGGGAAAAGAAGAGCAGTATTCCAAACTGGGAGGCACAGGGAGTTTCAGTACCCACTAGCAGGCCCTTTTGGCGCATGTGAATTTGAAGAATACTTATAATATGATAATATTAGTGTTATTACTGGATGGAATAATTTATATCTTTGAAGATGGTTTCATATTCTGTATAAATGATTAACATTGTGAATTCTTTTTAATTCCCCTATAAACGTTCCCCTTTTTCCACTACTAATTATTAGAGAGATTTTAAGGCAAAGTATTTTACCTTTCTTAGATAAATTTCTGTCCACTCAGAGAAAATTACCTGTGCTCAGTGTTAAGAAATAACTTATAACTGGCCACAGTATGGAAGTATTTAATGGCCATTTATAATTTTCTTCAGTGAAACATGAATGGTATCTGTGGCTTTAGGTTGTTGTTAAAAATCCACAAATATGTGAAGGTAAATAAAGGTTGAATTTCTAATTTCATAAACTTCGTTGATAAATTTTGAGTCCTATTTTGGAAGAATTTCTCAAAGTAGGAAAAGGATGCATTTGTAAATTATCATATCTTGATCTGTGCTAGTGTGGGAAAAGCATGGACTTTTTGGAAGGCTGTGAATTTTGGTCCTACCACATATTAGCTGTGTGAGTTTGAACAAATTGCTGAATCTCTCTGAGTTTGCATTTTTATACATAAAATGGTTATCACCTGTATATCACCAAAGTTGTTGACAAATTAAATAACGTTAAGTATAGCCAACTGCATAGTAGTCATTCAGTAAATTTGCCTTCTCTTTCCTCTTCCATTTTATTACCTATAATTATATAATTATATTATTAAAATCAGTAAGCCACAATGTTTTAACCTTAAAAGTAAGAGAAGTGTTCATTTCTTAAATTCCTTCAATTATTTGAATATCTCTATTAAGATTTTGGAAGAAAGATATGAACTATGCTGCTGTTTATTGGTCTTAAAGTTGTGTTAGCATTTGAAGACAGTCCTGAGTATAGCAATAAGTAGTCAGCATGTATTTAATGAGTGCCTGCTCTATATCAGGAACCCTTTTCCTGGGGAACATACTCGTCAACAAGATATAGTCTTGATGTTCACCTTCAGGCCGAGAAGAAAGACAATAAGCATGTAAATAACAAAAGATAATTTCAGATAGTGCAGTGAATAAATAAGAGAGGGTAATGGGATCGAGAGAGAGAAAAAGAAAGTTACTTCATTTAGCAATCAGGGAGGGTCTGGAGAAGGTATATTTGAACTAACGCCAGAATAATGGGAAAGAGGCATTTAAAATTCTGGATGCACAGCTCCTCAGATAGAGGACAGCCAGTGCAAGTCCTTAAAATGGTGAGTTTATCATTTTCGAGGTATAGAAGAAAGACTTGTGGAGAAAGTAGTAGGAGGTGAGGGCTAGATCATATGGCCTTTTAGAGTTGGGACTTTATTCCAAAACAGGGTGTTAGCAGGGGAGATACATAATTTGTATTTAAAGAGAACAGCTTAGTTGTGTCAGAGGGATGCCAAGTGGAGGTGGGTGACTCTAGAAAACTTAATTTGTTTATCCATTCTCCTTTTGATGGATAACTGAGCTGTATTTAGTTTTTGGCAATTGTAAATAAAGCTGCCATGAACATTCTTTGACAACTTATTTTATGGATATATGTATGCAGTTGACCCTTGAACAACACAGGGTTGTTTCAACCCTCTTTGCAGTCAAAAATCCATGTATAACTTTACAGTCAGCACTCTGAACCTGTGGTTCCACTTGCACGGATTCAACCAACCTCAGATTTTGTGGTACTATAGTATGTATTTAGGGAAAGAAATCATGTATAAGTGGACCTATACAGTTCAATTCCGTGTTGTATATATGTGTATATATATATAGTTATTTATTTTATGTTTGTACATATGTATTTTGTATATGTATATGTGCGTATGTATATATTTTTTATTTGTATGTTTGTGTGCATATTTTTTTTCCTCTTGGGTAAATATTAGGAATAGAATTGCTGGCTTAAGCAGGTATATTTATGTTTAGTTTTATGATAAACTACCAGACTTTTCCCAAAGTTCCATTTTACATTTTCTTCTACAATGCATGAAAATTCTAGTTGCATGAAAATTCTATCCTTACCAACGTATATTATTGTCAGTCTTTTTGATCTTACCTATACTGGTATATGGATAGTAGTATATACCTCTGGTATTAATTTACATTTCCCTAATGACTGATGATGTTCATTACTTTTTCATGTGCATATTGGTCATTAGTATGTCTTCCTTTGTGAAGTTTTATTCAGATCTTTTGCCCATATGTTTTTCCACTGGGTTATTTCTTTTTATTATTGACTTGTAGGAGTTCTTTATATACCCTGGGAACAAGTCCTTTGTCAGATTTTTTTTTTTTGTATTTTCTCTAAGTCTATGGTTTGCCTGTTTATTTTCATAATGGGTTATTTTGATGAGAAAATTTCCATTTTGATGAAGTCTAATTTCCCATTTATTTTTATAATCATTGCTTTTTGTGTCCTTGGAAATCTTTGCCCTCAATCGTGAAGCTATTCTTCTGTTTCTTCTAGCAGCTTTAAAATTGTTGCAGTTACCTTTGATCTAGCTCTAACTTTTGTAATGGAGTCAAGATTAATTTTTCCCATATGGATGTCTAGCTTTTACATCGTCATTTGTTGAAAAAACTTCACTTCTCCAGTGGGTTATGTCCTCATCTTTGTGTAAAATTAAATAACTGTAAGTATGGATCTATTTCTGTTCTCTGTCTCTCGTGTTTCATTGATCTATTTGTTGATCCTTAGGCTAGTACCACACTGTCTTAATTATTGTAGCTTTATAATAGGAAGTCTCAAATTTAGGTAGTTTTCCAAATTCGTTCTTTTTTAAAATTGTTTTGGATAGCATAGATCCTTTTATTTTCTATAGAAAATTAAAAGTTAACTAGTCAATTTTTTACCAAAATTCCAGGTGCAGGTATATTTGGGATTGCACTGAATCAGTTTGGAGAGAAGAGAAACTCATAAAAAATGAGTCTTTCAATTCATAAACATAGTATAATTATTTATTTATATCTTTAATTTCTCTCATCTTGTTTTATAGTTTCCAGCATAGAGGTCTGACACATCTTTTGTTAAATTTATTTGTGCTTTTGACCCTATTATGAATGGAATTTTTAAAATTTTAATTTTCTGTGTGTCTACTGCTAGTGTATAAAAATACAACTGATTTTTATACAAGACCATGTATCTTGTGACCTTGCTAAATTTATTTATTTGTTATAATAGTGTTTTTTTAAGAATCTAGAATCCTTTTCTATGTAGGCAGTCATTCCATCTGCAAATTAATACAGTTTTACCTCTTTCTTCCCAATCTGTATTCCTGCTTTTTCTTTTGCTTTATTAGGCTGGCTAGGATCTTCAGTACAATGTTGAATAGTAGTGGTAAAAGTGGAATTCTTTGTTCTTGTGACCAATCTTAGGGAAAATGCATTCAATATTAGGGAAATATTAGGGAAAATGCATTCAATACTTTACCTTTTAATTATGATGTTAGCTATGCGGTCTTTTTTATAGATGCTCTTTATCAAACTGAGGAAATTCTCTTTTATTCCTAGTTTTCTGAAAGTTTTTTTTCTTTTTTTTTCTTTTTATTGTGAATGGGTGTTGAGTTTTCTTCAGTTCATTTTCTGTATTTATTGACATGAGTGCATATTTTATTCTTTTTTTTACTCTATTAATCAAATCAACTACATTGATTTTTGCATGTTAGCCAACCTTGTATTCCTGGGATAAACTCTACCTAGTCATAATGTATTATCCTTTTTATACACTGTTGGATTTGGATTGTGAATATTTTGTCAAGGATTTTTGCATCCAGTTTATGATCTATTTTGATCTGTAATTTTTATTTTATAAAATCACTGTGGGTTTTGTTATTAGGATTATACTCTTCTTATAAAATGAGGTTGGATGGATTCCCTCCTTTTTGTTTTCTAAATTTATGTAAGATTGTATAATTTCTTCCTTAAATATTAGATAAAATTCACCAATGAAACCTTCCAAGTGGGGATGTTTTT